CAAGAACCGAATCTGACTTTCATGAGTAATCATAGTCACAAAGATCATCAACATCTAAATGTTTTACACCGCTGATTGTTCATAAAAAACTGGTGGATTTAAAAACCTGCCCTTTCTATGATTGTTTGTATTCAATATTATTAATAAACTTGTCTGTATTGACAGCTACAAAAAAAAATAACAGAAGAATTATGTATATATTTAAAGACAACAGTATTACCAGGGATTATTTTTAAACTATTTGCTAGGACATGTGCAGTGTTAGCATATTGCTATCATATTAAAATGCGCTGACCACACATCAACAGCAAACTAATGTGCGGTCAATAATTTTATATATAATTTATTGAACACGTTGCTCTTTGGAATAACAATGTTCAAAAGACTAACTCAAAAGCTAACTCAAATCAATTGAATGTTCATTTAAAGTTTCTAGATTCATTTGGTCATGAATTCAAAGCATCCAGTGTTTGTTTTCGTATAATTGTGTGCTCATTGTAAAAATATTTCAATAATTGAAGGATTTTGTAGCTTAATTTGTAGTTACCTGAAAATGAATGAATTGACCATATATGATGTCAAGGGTCGTTTAATAAAATTCAAAACTCAAAAAAATTTACAATTGAAATCTGAAAATTGAAATATTTGAATCTAATAATAATCCAAACTTAATTTGAATCATAAAAATTAATCTAAAAGAAGATATTAATTGCTTGTTTTATTTGTCTCTTTATTTACAGTGTTGTTTAGTTTTTTAGTTTTTGTGTACTTCCAATAGCATGACTCCATATATATTTTGAATATAATGATCTATAATGTAATGTGATAGTTGTAATCAGTGTTGTCAGCGGACGCGAACATGGACACGGAGTGTACGGACAGTCCGGGACATTTAAGAAAATGAGCAAACACGTCCGCGTGACAAATTGTTACGCGGACATTTTGGACAGTGTACATTGGACATTGTTCAGGACATGTCCCATGTACAGCACTGGTTGTAATGAGTATAAATAAGATTATAGATAATAATTAGATAAATTGGAATTTGAAAAATGAATAAATTCACTTTTATACATGTAAACAGCTGACCCAGGGTTCCCTTGTTTACCGTCAATAAGTTCTAGTGCTAAATATTGTAAATGGATGTTAATATTTATTTTAATATTACTAATCAAGTTTATCATTCTGTTCAAAAATACTTAACATTAGTAGTCATATATATATATATGTATGTATGTATGTATGGGGTTTGTACTAGGGAAATCAAGCTTCCAGACAAAAAATCTATTTTTAGTAACAACCCTTATAAATTTGGTTACACTATGCAAAAGATCCAATTTTTTCACCAACTGTAAATCCTTTATTAGAGATTATTATCGAGTAAAAAGACAAAAAATAGCTGGAAGCTTGATTTTCCTAGTACAGACCCCATATATATCTATCTATTTATTTTTATAAAAAATTAGAATTATACATATTTGGTTTTTTTCTTGTATATTAAAAAAGGTGGTGGTGGTGATTATTGATCTATTACTCGCTACTCTAGTTATACATCTTTAATAAAACAAACATGACTTAGCTATTTAATCATTTCCTTGTATGTGAATGCCTCCATCCAACAAATATTCATGATGGTCACGATTATTATTCAATACATTTGATATCATCATTGACATAACAAACAATTTCATCACCCAGGTAGTAATAATACCAAGGCCATGCATAAATGAAACCCTTAACTACCCAGATCTCTAGGGTTCACAAAATAAATTATTTTTCCTGATTATCAATTATGGTTTCTCATGAATAATAAATCTGACATTGATTGCAGGTGTCAGATTTAACTGAAATTTCCTATCACCAACAAGCAAACTCCGTGCAAAGCATCAATTCAGCACCATGGAATTTTTTTTCTACAGTTGAAAGTGGTTTGAACAAGTTGGTAGGCTTTGGACAAAACATTCCCTTATCTTCCCCTCAGACCAGGCTTGGCATCACCATATGGCATTGATCACTGATGAGGACCAGCATTTGTGTGATGATTACACCCCTCTAGAATAAAGTTGATTTAAATAACAAATTCAGTTGATCAAATAAAAATTAAAGAGAAGCAGAGAATTTGGGAAAATGATTAATTTATAACATAACATACCAAAATCTGAACCATTTTATGACTTTTTTCTTGTTGGCCATATTGCTGACAATGAGGTATATTAATTTTAACCTACAGGACAGAGAACTGGTTGGGCAAAAACCCAATCCAGTCCCTTACCCAAAATTATTAAATTAGTTAGTATCAAAAAACAGAGAATTTATGAAAGTGATTATACAAAACAAACACTATTTTACAACTTTCCTCTTAACATCAGAGCCCAATGCAATTTCAGGGTCACAAACCCTGCTCTGGATTGTGACCTCCTACACTTGGAATGAGTTGCAAATTCTCTTGATATTCCTTCAGAGTTGCGACTTGGTCACAGTGCCATCATTGCCCTAGAGGTAGGATCATTGCAGGCAACTTTTCGGCTAGCATGCCAGCAGCCATCTCTGGTCTGGGAATATTAGTGAAAGCGTCATTGACGATTGATGCAGTCTCGGTAAACTCCAGGGCCATGCGCCAACCCCCTGGAATTCAGTTGCATCATTATATCCATAGGACGGAGCTGGTCAGATTAGCCTTGTGAACACGACGAGGAATGTGTGAGAATGACTGTAATGTGTTCAAGGTAGCGTGCGTGCTTCAACATCTGTAAATTTCCGATAATCAAATGTCGCATTTCGAAATGTTTCTTTTTCAACAGTCAATGCTGCCTTGACATCTTCTTGTAATTATATATTAATAATATTATCATTACGATTACGCAAAGCAAAATATTATCAATGAAAATCTTGTAATTACCCAGCAAGATCTGTTCCGCGTTTTGATTCAATTAAAAGACACCTCATACATATCAATACAAATAAAAAATAGTGCCTCTGGTTAGTTATTAACACGTTTTCTTTAGGAGACCCAAACTAAACCAAACCAAACAACAACACTCACGTTTTGTCACCTTGGACTCTGTCAAAAAATAAAAAATAAAAACCAATTCGCGTCTGTCCTACCAAAAAAAAACCAATAGGATAAATAATTAATGTGTACGCGTCGATCATTCACAAACTTCTTTTTATTTTTTTCTTTTAAAATGCCACCAAAGAAAGAGTCGAAAAAAAGAAGCAGAACGAATGAACTGGGAGCCGAACGTGGGTAAGTGTTTTAAGGGTAGTGGTGGTGGGTTATCGCCCGCTGCTCGTCGTCACTCTAGTTTTTTATAAAAATAATGCCTAAAGAATAAACTTTTTTTTATTAGTGAATTATACTCTGATCTTAGTATTGATTCGATTAGAAGAAGAAAAAAAAAGGAGAAGATCGTATACTAAGTACTAATAGTAGTAATAGTAATAGTGGTAATGAAGATTTAAGGTTACGAGAATGTTTTTCAGATGATAATGGGAGGACTTCATCTAGATATAGAGATAATTGTTTAAAGTTGAATAAATTGAGCCATTTGGAAGGTGATAATCGGAGAATTAAAGAAAAAAACATTAAGCAACAACAACAACACCAAAAACAACATGAAAATAAAGAAAATAATATGGTATTTATTTCAATAAAATATTATTTTAGTATTCAATATTGTAAACACTAATTCAACATAAAATAATTTTTATATATAATTATCTTCTGCACAAACAATCATGCTCTTTAGAGTTGGAAGAAGAAGGCGGAGGAGTTAGAGCTGGAGGTGAAGCGACTAAGAAGAAAATTAAAAGGCATTGAAGGTAAAGATCTTGAATGTAAATGTTGGGTTATACATTGAAGGCAGATAAATATTCTAGTTACTATAAAAAATGTCAATCATTCACTGATTCATAGGCGAATCACCAATATAAAAAAATTATTTTTCATTCATTCCATTTCGTTTATTTATTTATTTATTTGGTATACTTTTTGCAATTTTAACTGATTCTTGCTTTTTATTTTTCCATTATTATATTCCAATATTTATGTTTTATTAGAAGGTAAGAAGCACAAATATGAAGGTAAATTTTATTTAACATGAATTACATGAAATCTTCTTTATACTCTTATTCATTTTTTCACCATTCATAAAACTCATTATTAGAGAAATCGGGAGATATAATGCTTAAAACTCAAAAAAATACCACTGAAAGGATTAAAAATATGTGTCCTCCATCATCAGGAGCTCTTCCAGCTAATTTTCCTGGAATACAAAAAGAAGCACTCATATATTGTCATCGCCCTCCTAAATATTTTGATTTGCCAACAACTTTTTTCCATCCAACTTTTAACAAATTCCTTAATCACTATAATGATAAAACTCTCAATATACCTAAAAAAATCTGTGAGGGTGTGTTCTATTTTGTAGAAGAAATGGCTGAAATTTTTTCACATGAAAAACCTCGTAAAAAAATATTACATGATTTCCTAAGAGACTGCCTTGATTTAAATCCTTTGGAGTTGATCCTTGATGATGATTCAAGCAATGACGGTGTTGTATTGTTGGTAGAAAAATATTTGGGTATTGTAATTGAAGTAAAGGCAGAAATAGGCAGTGGAAAATGTGATCCTTACTTACAAGGAAGTTTAGAATATAGTAAATTTTGGGCACAGGATCAAGTAAGTGCATAAATTTATTTAATGCAATTGAAAAATATTCACAAGTACATGTTTGAATTCACATTTGTAATTTGGTGATATTTTATAGTTTAAAGATTTCAAAGAAAATTGTAATTGTCCATCATTTATTATATGTTTAGCCGGTCCATGGATATGTATAGCTTCAGCCATTTTTTTAGATCGGATAATTATAGATCCATTGACTGATTTTATTCCATTACAACCAGCATTTGATAATTATGGTCTTGATCGAATTCTAGGTTATTTTTTGCATTGAAATCTGCAATTATTGATTTAAAGGAATTCTATAGAAAGATAGAGGCACAGAAAGTTTTTCATGGACACCAGAATTTTTTTCCATATGTAAATACATTTGTTCAAGATGGAAGGGAGGTAAAATTTATTTACACAGAACACATTTCTAGAGGTGTATACAAGGCAAAGATTTCTAAAAATGGTCTAGTTGTTATTGTTAAATTTTCTAGAAGGTACAATGCTGATGCTCACAAATTGTGTGCTGCTATGGGATTTGCACCAAAATTGTTACATGTTGATACAGAAAAGATGCAAGAATGGATAATTATAATAATGGAGTATGCTCATAATGCAAAACAATTGCAAGATAGTCATCTTGATTTGGAATAAAAAAAAGCTTATATTAAAGGAAATCAGGGCTGCAATTGACCTTCTCCATGAAAACAATATTGTGTTTGGTGATTTCCGTTCAAATAATATTTTAATATATGAAAAGGTGCAACAAGTACATGCTCTATTAATAGATTTTGATTGGTCTGGAGTTTCAGACAAAGACAGATATCCATTTTTCATGAATTATGATATAACTTGGCCAACTGGTGCTGGAGATGGAGAAATTTTAAGAAAAAATCATGATGAAGAATGGTATAAACGATTAGAAAAATTATTAGAAAAGTGAGTTTCCTTGTTTTTTAAAAAGATCAGGCTATCTTTTCTTAGGGTTAATTAATAATTAGTGGGAAATGGCATATATTTTATTAATTTTCTTTTGCATATCAGCAAAACATTTAAAGTAAATTGTTTTTTGCTTTCAAAATAATCTTGTTTTATCTTTTTAAACCCCTAATCAAATTTATTATTGTGAAAAAGAATTATTTTTAATTTGATATCTATATATATCCACTGATTCATCAATTGAAATTAAAAATAAATTTCTAATATTAGTAGGAATAATAGTACTTCTGGACAATAATTATTCCAGCCACTCTGATCCTCTTTGCCTATATAGTTATTTATTTCTTATATGTCATTTTTAGCAGAATATAAGTAATCATAGTCTGTTTAATGTAAAATAACTCATGTTTTTTTTTAATTGGTGGGTCGTAATACTCCTGATGGTTACTCTGGTATAGTTTTTATTTGTAAGGATTGTAAAAAAGATTATGATAATAATACTCTTTCATGATGTGAGAAATGTGGTAGGTTAAAAAGGAATAGAAACAGATGTTTTTGTAGTCATTTAAAAGCTAAATCAACT